TTTGAGGTAAGAGGATATGCAATCTAGGACAATTAACAAGAATTTTGTGTGAAGAAAAATTTTGAAAGGTGAATGTAATGGTGAATAACGTCAAAATCTTTTGACGGATCTAAAAATATTTCAATAGTTGCTTCATTCTGATCCATTGATAAAACATCTTTAAAATAAAAATGGCCGTTTCCGTCATTTTTATTTTCTAACTTCCGGATATTTTTTATCGTGCACCCGACAGTAGTTGCTCTTTAACTCATTTTTACCCCAAGTCTGAGACAGAAGAAAGTCCCAGCAATGACTGGGTGAGGCACGTGGGACCACATGTGGAGAGAAATGAATAATGGGAAATGTAGTACAAAGATTAGGTGCAGGTGGTAAGATAAGAGGGTCCAAAAATGCTGTGGAGGAAGGAAGAGAACCAGTTGTGGGTGGGGATGGGCCTTAGGAAGGATACTTTTCCGGCAAGGTTCTTGTGAAGTTTTCCTGAAAGTTTCGCTGAGTTTATTATTTGTGTCTCTCAAATGCTGTTTCAATTGGTTGTTTGCTCAATAGATGATTTCTTCGCAATGTTTGTTTCTCGTACCTGAGGGGCAAAGTTCCTGTTTTGGACGGCACGTTGTTGTGCCTGATGTAAAGTAACAGCCGAATTAATCATTCTGCTCTTCTATGATGACGACTTTGTCCCATTTAGTGCGAGTTATTTCCCGGGTACCCAACTGGCCGTGTCGACAAACCTCCTGGTTGGTTGAAACACGCCTGTGAGAGTAAAATGGGAGTTTCTCATTGAGCAATGAGATTTGACGTCAACTACTAAAATTAGTACTATTTTGATGGCTTAGTGAGGATGTCGTTGTTCATCACTAAGCCATGTTGCACAATTCTGCATATACATGTTTGTTTGGACTTGATAGCCTTCGGTTTCCTTGATTCACTTCGGTTTGTGGATGGTCGTGTCGATGATGAGATGGCCAAGTCGAGGAACTGAGTGTCATAATCTAACGCAGATATGTTTTTGTCGAGATTGCTAGGGATTGTTTTGGCCTTCACGGGGGCGGTTGGAACTTTGCGCTGTGTTTTCTTGTTCAACCATCTGTTTGAACGACCGTTTCGAAAGTGTAGTCTATTGTTCACGTGTGTGAAAGTATCAGAAGATTGGATTTGAGAGTGTAGACAGTAGAAACTGTGGAGGGACTAGAGTAAATGTCAGAAATGCGTATCAAAAAAGGTGGTAAATATGGAAATAAGTAAACGAGTACCCAGATTAGTACCTAAAGTAGTGTATTTTACAGTTATTTAAGTCACATTTGTTTTTAAAAAAAATCGTATAGCTACTGGGTTTCAATTAGCGTTTGAATGTGATTGAGAAATTGCTAAAAGAATTTAAGGTGCTTAATGTAAAAATGTTTAAGTTGAAAACTAATGCATTAATATAAGACTGTTCTGACTAATGTAAGACCGTCAAATTCACACCTTTTGTACTGTGACAATAACTCATGATTTCTAGCATGAAGTTCAAATTGTTCATCTATAGATGAAAGCTGACTTTTCACAATAATCGCTACTCTTTCACTGATCGTTGAAGGCTTTACATAATTATAAATTAATGTATCTAGCAGTAACTATTGTAACTCTTTAATTGCGTTCTTTCTTGCACTCGTTGAAATAGAACGCCGTTTTTTGAAATATTTGTATTTAGCACATTTTCCTCCATTAAAATCGCATCAGATTACTTTTCCCGCCTTGAAGCTTCATGGTGTTTCAATGCGTTATGGTCTACACTTCAGATTTACCGCCCTGTAATTAATATACATTGTATTTGCGACGAAGGCCCGGTTCTGAAACATGGTTTTGCCCAGCTGCTTGGGCAGAGATAATTCTGAATGTCCTCCCCACTGCGATCGGTTGTTATACTCCGATTTAAAAGTAGTGATGCTTCAAGGTCACGAGCTGAAAGGGGGAGAGGGACATTGATATCCAATCGGAAGCGGGGGCTCGGGTTTAGACGACTTAAAATTTTTGCCAGTGGAGCTCCTAATTAGATGGCATTGTCCCCCTTCCCCTTCCAGCTCGTGACCTTGGAGCGCCACTCCATTTAAATCGAAGTGTAAATGTTGTGTCCCTTCAAGGCCGCGAGCTAGACGTAGAGAGCACTTCCAATTGGGGGCTTTGTTAGGACGTACATTTTTGGTATTCAAGCTCCAGATAGAATGTTTGCGTTCCTCTCCCAGCTCGTGGCCTTGAAGGGAGACTACATTTAAATCGCAGTACAAAGGCCAGTGCGCCCCCGTGCCGAGTTATGGCAGTCCATCGTGCCTTCTCAGCGGGTGCTGTTGGCCAGGACAAGATTATGAGAGAAATCGAGTCTTCTCAGCGGGTGCTGTTGCCCAGGACCGGACTATGGGAGAAACCGAGTCTTATCAGCGGGTGCTGTTGGCCAGGACAGGACTATGGGAGAAAACATTGTACCTCGTCTTCTATTAGTCTTTAAAGCCTCATTTAAAGGACTCGTGATGTAAATAACTAGCGCTTGTTTCCATGGTATCCAATAGATAGAAATTCATAATTTTAACAAATTATGAGAAAACTACATTTTAATAATATATGACATTGAAAGATCACTTGAATGTTTTGCTGGCAGTTGTATTTAGAGTTCTAAACTGATGGGAAAATACCTCATTGTTGGATTTGAAGAGAATTATGAGGTCGGTCCATAAGATTCCCTCTTGTGAGTTCCGGAGCATCTCCGTCGCAGCCCACAATATTGTTTTTACTTCCTCGCACTTACTATCGTAAGAAGAGAAAGTATTGTAATCGTGCGCCGCAAACGGCGAATTTTCGACACAAAAACTTTCATTGCCGGTCCCTGGTAAGGAAAATGTGGAATTCAGTTGCTAAATATAGAAAAAAAATCCTCTAAAGCGTAATGTAGTCAGAATCCATGCTTTGGGCGTCCATCAAACCGAAAAATCAATCTCGATTGAAGGCAAACCGTCTGTAGACAACGGTAGAGCATAAACCATTCAGCTGATTTTCTCGAACATTGATTTTCCCCAATCGTTCTAGCGGATGTCGGGGACCATGGAACCGATATATTAATTATGGGGGTTCTTTATATAAAGCCCCTGGGAGATTTTTCGCGTTTGTAGTCATTTATCCTTTTCTAAATTACTCATGTCTAGGTTAATGTAACATTCTAGAATAGAAAGCATTGGATTCAGTGAATTCTGGCTTACAAATCGAAGTATTATTTACCTACTTTTTTTTTTTTATTTGGGAAATATTTCCAACCAAATTTATGGAACGCGAATTAACGAAATTCGATTTTCAGAGACTAATATTTGAACTTAACCCCTCACCAACCAGAAGCCCATCCCTTGTCCTATTCTCACACACACTAAAATGCACCTCACTACCACACGTCGGGAGCTTGGAGCTTGTCTCGGCTGGGGACATGCCCCGCTGGTGGGTCTCGCCAAACAGCGGGGGAAGACTACCGCCGCCACCTGAGCATGCACTACACTTACTGGACTAATGGCCTTTAGTAGTTGACGCGCCCGGGATCACTAACAATCAATCCACTTGCAACTGTTCGAAGGGTGAGAATTTGTCAGGCTCCTTCTCGGTTAGACCACTTAGTAACTTGAGAGCTGTAACATCAGTATTCTAATCGAACTTTCAATTCTGATAAAGTTATTTTTTGGCGTTTATACTTTAGAATGCCGTTTCAAAATAGTGTAGATATGCCAGATTCTGTCGCACATTTGTTAATGTCAAACCTTGAGAAAACAACATTCTTCAGAAGCTTTGCCAATGAGATTCCGCGAATTGAAGGAATCCTCTCAGCTAATTCGTTGACCGACTTTATGAAAGCTTCAAGACCGCTATTACTCGCCTATGGCTGAAGTGTTGTAAAACTGTCCTCGTCAAGGTTTAATATCCGACGTTGAGTCGGAGTTAAAAATCAATACGACAAATCTTACACCTTCATCTTACACATCTTGACGAATCCATGGAAATCGAATAGTAACGCGACTTTTTTGTCAGTAATTTCATCGCACATATTTCCCCCACCTCTTCTTCATAATCTTATTGCAAACTACGAAATCGAATTGACGTGGCCACTACCTCGATTGGCATAATCTGTAATGTGCTTTCTAAGAAAATCGTTGAATTCCATCAATAATTCAAGTAAGACAAGGTACCAATTATCAAGTGAACAACGTTATCCTTATAACCATGGAATTCCAACTCAAGTTCATACAGAAATCTCATAAATTTAACAAGACGGAGAAAAATATTTCGCAAATTTTTTTTGTGCCTCTTCTCCTTATAGAATAAGTGCAATGTTATCACATCCAATTAAGGCTTGAGCGTTTTGTGAAATCCAACTCGGCATCTATAACTGAAATTTTTTGAAAACTAATGATCTAACCGTTTTCCAGAATGTTTCCAATCACAAGTGCAATCGTAGGTAAATTGGAAGAATTGTTTACTCATTCTCAAAAATTGCATACCTTAATAACTAAGTTTTTTTTATTGAATTTAAAAAATCCTAGTTCCCATTATAGACGCCATGTTCTTTGAAAGTCGTGCCCCAATGACAGATCCCAGTATTAAAAATTTTAAACGCTATAAATGGAAATCTTAGTAAAAAAATATTGCACACATTTAATTTTAATTAAAATGCATCAAATGCATGCAGGGTTGCAGGTCTATGTCAAGGAAAAATAGTCAATTTGAACATAAAATGTAACAAGATAAATATAAAATTAAAACAAAATAAATTATAAAATTCGAATATATCATAATTTTGTAATGTAACAAATAAAATGTGGTATCCAAGTGACAAAAATACATCAGTGTGATTTACATCGTTTGAGTGTTGTTAAAACCCATAATTTGTATTTGGTGGGGCCCCGTGCACCCCCCCACACACACACACAATCATTGCTAACCTTCAAATCGGCTCTGATATGCTTAAGTTCTCACGTTAAATTTATTTTAAGGTGGGCTTGGCAAATGGCCTGTTTTCTAAATAATTCACTGTACATCGCGACTCCAACACTGCGAATATTTTCGTGATTTTATGGTAAAGGCTTTTTTATAAAATGACAGTCGACTCCTGTTATAGCGAACTAATGGGGACTAGGATTTTTGGTTGACTGTAGCTGATGATGTAAAAATTGAATGGACAATGATTGGTTTTATTAAAATAGAGATACAGCAAAATAAATTAATAGCACGAACTTAAATTTCAATATTTTTATTTGTCTTAAAAAATCAATTATTTTCAATTGTTTGCTTCGTAAGGCCCTTTAACTCGCCGTATTAACATAAGGGATCCTTGTGAGATAGCGCAAGCGGCTAATGAAACTGATCGCTTTTCCGCGTGGCACGGTGGATATTGCAAGTGTCTGGGGTGTGTCAGTCGCGCGCTCCCTGTCGGCTACGTAGAACACAACACGTTTTTCTCGCGGAATATCAAATAATATTAGCTCAAAACTGAAACAAGCAATCACATTGTCGCCATCGCCTGTTGTAGTCCTTACAGGTCATGGTATTCGTTTTCTCAGTGAAACTGAGTGACATGAGGTCACCTGTAGGTCCCATTCCAGATCCGCTACCTTCACCTCAGGGGAGATCACTTCGAATGTGACCTTTGGCCGATATATTATATTTCCTGTAACTGATGTTCAGGTTCAGTATAACCGAATCTTATGCTTATTTGTAATATAAGCGCAACGGGACCAGTGACATCAATTCACTATATCCGAGAGTTCATTACATCCGAGTTTACTGTAACCGGATTTGGCTTTACTTGCATTATTGTTCCCAGTCATTAAAATTCACCATTCATTTGGGTCCGCATTGCTTCGAACTTTCTCGCTACCGCTTACACAGAAGATAGAAAGTTATAATGCTGGGGGGGGGGGGACCGGTGAATTTTCGGCAGAACCTCCTGGAACTGGGTCCTGGTAACGAAAAACTGGATAAATCCAGTTGCGAAATTTAGGGGGGAAATCCTCTCGAATGTAACACGAGGACGAGGTGTAGGCAAACTCCAATTGTTGTGGATCCTTGATGCCGAGAAATCGAATGACGGTGAATCGAAGGCCCGTCCGTCTGGGAACAGCCCTAGCGACTAAACCGCTCAGCTGATTTTCTCCAAAATTGATCTCCTCTTGATCGATGGTTTTGAATGGGCCGCCTTTTGAATTTGAGACCGATATTTTAATTTTGAAGGGTACTTAACATGAAACCCTCAAGACATTTTCATAATTTTCAAAACAAATGGCTCTCTCATTTTTGTTTAAAGTTTGTAGTTGAATAGTGTGAAGGACGTTTGAGAGAATGGGATAAGTCTCATTTTGGTGAAAAACTAATTTTTCGATAATTGCAAAAATTCAAAAACTTTTCAGCATATTCCTGCAACTACAATTATATAATTATATAAAATAGAGATTTTTCCCCTTAATAAAATCTGTTTCTTAAAGATAGACTTTGAGATAAAGATCATATACATTTTTTTTCAAATTTGAGTGCTCTTTACATAATTTTGCGTGAAAGTACGTGCTGTATTTCCACCACCATATTTTGATTTTCCTACTCATAACATATGTCATTGTTAACATAGATAACATTGTCATTGTTACACCTCCTGCCTTATAAATCGCGTTTTTTAAATCGTGAACGTCCTTCTCTACGGAGTTCGTCGCCTCAGAAATGTGCTTACTACTGTGAAAAAGTTTCGTGTTATAAGGCAGAAGATGTAACAATGGCCTAATATCATTGGCAACTAGAAAAAACAAAGTATAGTTTCCTTGTACGAGTATAATACGCGATTTCTTCGAGCTGAAATGTATTCAAGCATTTTTATGCCCGTTAAGTTCTCCCACGTTGATCTTCCATAAATTCTTGTGAGTCTCCCTTTTGTTATCACATTTTTCTTTGTCATGACTGCGAAAACTATGAAGGCTCATTCAATTTATCTGTAGCAAGTGAAGAAAACAATTTAATTAGAAAAGGTGCCTGTGAAATGCAGAAATAAAAGAAGAATTCGTTGAATAATGAACGCACGCCTGTCTCGTAAACGAAGCACCACCAAAGTTCGTTCACTAATAAAGTTCCAATTTTCTTTTCTTAAAATCCAGTCTTTGTTAAAGGTGTGAAAGAAACAACCCTTAAATAACGTCACCGAAATTTTTTTACTGGAGATTTTTGAGAAATACTACTTTTTAAAGTTCGGTTACTTAAAATATTTCGTAAATAAAAGCCAAATTGACATCCATTCAAAAAGTGTGTTTCATTCATGCAGAGATTAACCTCCTCCTGCCCTTCATTTAAGATTTTAAACTGATATAATTATATCAAATCCAATCTTTAACCGAAACAATATTAACCAAAAATTTATTTCCGGTAACGATAATAAGCAGTGTCTTAATGGGTAATAAAGTAACAAATGTGTGATACCTCGCAATAAGTTTGCATTTTACTGCAAGTTAAGTTTCTTCGTTTGGTATTTATTTGTGAGATTGATTGATGTTTCCTGGCACTTCAACAGCTATGGTCATTAGTCCCATTAGTGTAATGAGCGTTTTTTTCCTGTGATGAAGCGGTTTTCCCCTAATGGATGGTGATTACGGCGCCAACTACATGTCAATTTGCCCACCTGGGTCTATCCGTCTATTCCCCCCCGCCCTCCAGCGGGGCAACGCCCCAGGAAGGAAAAGGTCCCATCAGTTCTTCTGACATCTGCCATAATGTCAGGGGAGTGAAAAGGAAAAGAAGGGGCGATCTTTGGTCAGTTTGTTAGGGCTTCAGCTTACGAGGTATTTGTCAGAGAAACACAAAACACTCTCAATCAGCCGGCCGCAATGGTTCTTCAGACATTTGATCTAGTTGAATATGTCGAAAATCCGTCACCCTTCGGGGCTCAAACCAAGGACGTACCCGGTCAGAGTCGTACAAGACAACGGTAAAGCTCGCTCTGAGCTTACTCAACCGATTTTGTTTCTCTTTGTTGTGTTTACATTTTTGTTATAATGAATAATACAGAAAATTGGAAGTTTTATTTCATCGTCTCCTGTATTATTTCACTAGTTTACATACCTTTTGCGGCTCACACACGCCACCGATCTTCATAAATGAGGAATTTAAAGAAATAGGATTTCGCGGAGACGACACGGATTGCACTTTGACTTTAAGAGTATGAATGATTTGTTTAAAAACACCTAAATAGTCATGTGAAATGCAACCCGCATCACTCTCAGCTATATCGTTAAATAACTCCTAATCAAAGTGTTCTTGCCTTAAAAACAAAACGTTTGAGACCAAAGACCTCTCAGAAACGTTCCTCACGCCGTATTTTATAGAATGAAATATTCTTGGACATTTTTATTAAAATTTCGCTCCTTCGGCACTTATCAATACTAGCAATACCACCTACATTTCACCCTTGGTGATGATGGCCATCTTTGTGACGCCCCACGCGCCGTGTCCTGCCTGCTTCGATTCCACTATCTTATACTATTTACGTTTTCTGTGTACACCATTGTTTGCGCAGACTGACGAGGTTTATTTGCATAATTATTTATGATTCGCTCACGCAGAAACAACTAGAAGTTCTATTAACAGTTGCTTGATACCGATGAAGATTGTTTCTTATGCGTGTAGTGGAAACATTCATTTAACGTTTTGCCGAGGTCTACGTGTTGTGCACCTAATTGTGGAGGGATGTGGTTGTACAGTGAAGAGTGAAGACGTATCTTGCTAGGTTTGTTACCTGCACCAGTATTTTCGTTATCAGTGATTCGATGAAACTTTCCAGTCAGTGTGTTCAGTGACGTAGCTTTCTCAAGAGTATAAAGCTTTTGTAATATTTTTGTGACTATCACTAAAAGGGAAAAGCTAACTGTCAAATTATATTGAATAATTACTTTTAAGGAAGGAATAACTATTTTTAAGGAAGTCTTGTAATCCAAGAAATCTCTCGATAATACTGAATAAATCTTTATTGAAATTTCTTTTCCACATCAATTTTTTTTAAAATTTTTATTATTGTTTGATATTGTGTTTGTACATTACAAGTTATCTTTATACATTTTTGTTGTTAACATGTACTATTTGTTAACAACTTTCTCTCTTCGAATGTAAATAGAAGAATAGAGAAGAGTGTGCGGTTTAACATGCGAGAGCTCACGCACAGGTTTGCGGAGGTAGTAGGCGCGAAATTGTGCAATGGCAAAACACAAAAAACAAACATTTTAAATTAAAGTAAAATAGCTTGAAATAAATGAACAAATATCAAAACGTACTACCCTACAATACTTCGTGAATTAATTTTTAAAAAAAGCAACCAAATTTAAAACTATAGAATAGCGCAAGTCACTCGACAACTGCCAACGATCACAATCCAGACACACGATTTAACTGTTGGTGGTATCCGGAAGTCCGTACATCTTAGCCCAGCTGTAAACTCATTTAGCAAATAATTCACCATCTGATATTAAACTTACGGTGTCGGTTCGCTAAGATTTTCAATACGTAAACATCGTTTGAGCAACATTTCATGTACCGAAGTGAAGTTTAAGCCTACTGAATTATTTCTAACGGTAACAAATGGTATTTATTAATCAAAGCTGAAAATATTAGTTTTTGGCTCGGATTTTTTTTTTGAAGTACGCAAGAACGCAGAAGATAATCCAATACGCTTTATTATCAAATAATTTTTTTAATTTTTGCACTCCAGCAAGCTGGCGCTCTGCTCTTCCACCCCCACCCCCCAAAACCCTCTGTACTCATAACAAATCCAGGAAAGTTAAATAATATTGCAAAGAGTATGGTTGTACTTCCCCGATTCTGTTTTTTCGCGTGGAAAACTTTACTTGGCTTTCTCAAGAGTAAAAACCTTTTTTAATATTTGTGACTATCAAAGAAAGCGAGAAGCTAACTGACAAGGAAGATTGAATAATTACTTCAAATGTTTTTAAGGCAGTGTGAATTGTTCACATCTCTATAACACTGAACAAACCTCTATAGG